GGGGTTGCATACATGGGAGAGCACATCTGTACTTTCTAGTTAAACCTGCTGTGAAATCTTGGGATCTTGGATCCTGTTTTCTTCTTTCTTTTTGTCCCTCAAAACAGAAACACAGCACTTAGAAAAACATGACTTGTTTTTTTAACTCACCAGCTCCGCAGTCACTGAGGAGCTGCCATCTCTTTAGGGAGAGGAAGAGATCAAATTCAAGCTGCGAATCTGTTCAGAATCTCCGAGAAGTCGCTCAGCCCCTGCTTTCTGTTCCAGTAACCAGAGGATTCAGGCTATGAGAGAAACACCAAACATGTGCACTGTCTCTGATAATGGAGTTGCGGGGTATTCTGGCTCTTAGAAACCATAATTTTATTTAACAAATTTAAATACATTTTGTTTAAAACTGAGAACAGGCAGTGCAGCTGTCCATCCTGGCCAGAGCTGGTCTTACTGAACATACGTATCTCTGCTCCCAAGGACCACGGTAGCCCCTGTGCAAGTTGGAAGGGCCCAGGCTCGTGTGACCAACTTCAAGGAGAGTGGAGCATGTATGCAGGGTTGTGTTCAGGACTCAATCCTTTGCGTTTTTCTGAAAGTTATTTCCTTCCAAGGAGGGAAGGTTGCAACCCAGTAGGGACTGGAATTAAGACTAGTGAAACAAAACATGCAGCTAGGAGAGGACATCAGTTGGAAACTATTTAAATGGTATGAAAACTTTATGGTCCTTTAAAAATGTCTCTTTCCACTCTAGGGCTTGCAAACTGAAGTGAACTTGGAAGGCTAGTACAATAACAGAATAAATCTGCTTGAGTGCAGAGAGCTACTGTTTTAATACAAGATAACAATACCCGTTCCCATAGAGCAGCCAGCGGCCAGTAGCATCAAATGCTTTCTATCCAAGTAGCGCTTCAGCCAATGCATCTAAAGGAACTTTTTGTAAAGGCTACGTAGCAAGGCTTCTGTGACTGGGAACTAAAGAATGCAACTTTTCCCCAATGGTTTTGATATACAGTGGGAGAAAATAACTTACAAAAAAAATTTTTTTTTTTTTTTTAAATATTAGGAAGTACACAATGTCATTAGTTCAAGGGGAGACTTCCACACTGTGAAGCTAACAATCCAATCTATAGCATTTTAATAGTTCTATATGTTAGGGCTAAAAATAACCAAGTCCAGTTCCAGGCTTACATTTTCCCTTAATTCAAAGGTAAAATTGTGCTTCAGACCTTTTTGAAAGAATTGGAACAGTGGGGGTTGATCAAAGGTTTGACAACAACTATGAAGGGGGATGTAAGTTTGGGGATTTTTAAAGGGGCTGGAGGCGGGGACAAGGGGTATGTTTGTTGTACCTCAATTTCTTCCTCAGCAAGTTTGTCAATCATCTCAAATACGGAGTCAACCAAGGTAGTAGCACCCAGGTTCCTCTTCTGCATTGCTTAGTCCTGTGTCTCACTGAGAAGCAAAATACAATTTCATCGGAGAACACCCTTTCATCAATGCTATCTCAGGTCCTTTGATGTTACAGAACAGGTAAGAGGTGACTAATGTTCTACATAATTTTTCAACCTACCTCAAGCCAGGTGCTGAAGAAACAGAGCACTAAGCACAGGATCCCCTTACGAGGGTGCTGCTCTATCCATCGGAAGTTAACTCTCGAACTGCTCCAGCATGGCTTTTCACGCCAGTAGCTCTGCAGTAGTATGGCATGGCCCTGAAGAAGGGGCTAGGGCTGAAGGATACATTCCAGTAGAATGGTAAATGCACTACCATCAGCTTTTAACATTCGATCCCTAGTTTTAAGCAGTTAATTTTATTTTTTAAGAGTGGAAATTCAGCTTTATGTAGGAGCACCCTTCAGAGAATCCCACAGCTACTGCTCATGTGAACCAAATTAGAGCTAAACAGAACCAAGATCTGAGCCTGGATGAAGTATTACAGTGTATGGCCACAACAATCTCATTAAAACCCACTTCCAATTATTTTAGCATGGATTAATAGAACCACATGCTGTAAACATAACTCCATCCAGGAACAGTGGTCAACTGGTAGTGGTCAACGGCTCAATGTCCAGATGGAGATCGGTGACAAGTGGTGTCTCTCAGGGGTCCGTATTGGGACCAGTACTGTTTAATATCTTCATCAGTGACATAGTGGGATCCAGTGCACCCTCAGCAAGTCTGCAGATGACACCAAGCTCAGTGGTGCAGTTGACATGCCTGAGGGACAGGACACCATCCAGAGGGACCTGGACAAGCTCGAGAAGCGGGCCTGTGTGAACCTCAGGAGGTTCAACAAGGCCAAGTGCAAGGTCCTGCACCTGGGTCAGGGCACCCCCCGGTATCGATACAGGCTGGGGGATGAAGGGATTGGGAGCAGCCCTGCTGAGAAGGACTTTGGGGTACTGGTGGATGAAAAGCTGGGTGTGAGCCGGCAATGTGTGCTCACAGCCCAGGTAGTCAGCCGTATCCTGGGCTGCATCGAAAGAAGAGTGGCCAGCGGGTCAAGGGAGAGGATTCTGCCCCTCTGCACTGCTCTGGTGAGACCCCAACTGGAGTACTGCATCCAGCACCGGGGTCCTCAGCACAGGAAAGACGTGGGCCTGTTGGAAAGGGTCCAGAGGAGGGCCACAAAAATGATCAGAGGGATGGAACACCTCTCCTATGAAGAAAGGCTGAGAGGGCTCCAGGGAGACCCTATTGCAGCCTTTCGGTACTTAAAGGGGGCTTAGAAGAAAGATGGGGCTTATAAGAACTTTTTAGCAGGGCCTGTTGCAATAGGACAAGGGGTAACGGTTTTAAACTAAAAGAGGGTAGATTTAGACTAGATAACAAGGAAGGAATTTTTTATGATGAGGGTGGTGGAACACTGGCACAGGTTGCCCAGGTGGTAGATGTCCCATCCCTGGAAACATTCAAGGTCAGGTTGGATGGGGCTGAGCAACCTGATGTAGTTGAAGATGTCCCTGCTCATTGCAGGGGGGTTTGGACTAGATGACCTTTAAGGGTCCCTTCCAACCCAAACTATTCTATGATTCTATGAACATAGAAGTATATGTCAGAGTGCCCTCCAAACCATGAAACTAATGAAGGGAGAGGGAATACAAAGAGAACAGAAATACTTAATGGATTTGTTCTAACCTGCCTTGCTTTTCACCCTTCCCCGAAACCTTCCTGTCTTGTGCAGCGTAATAAACACTGATTAAAGTAGGTCTAAAATTAAGGGCCAAGGTGCCATCTCGGAAGGCAGCTGTCCCCTCCACGAACAGAGAGCTGCTTAGGCTGTTGCACACATAGCCACAAGGTACATGTGTCTCAGGAAAAACAAGTCACCAGGGGCCAACACGCTCCTGTGGGCATTCTCACCCTTGCTTCCAGGTCCTGTAAAACAGCCCCCTCAGTCTAGACTACCATTCCAGCTGGGCCACGTCTTCAGTGCATCGTGCCCTGCATGCACTTCTCCCAAACTGAGCATCTCGCGAGGCAGCTGGTCTTCTACTGAAGCTGACGTCAGTCCTGTATTTTCTGTGCTTTTTCTCCACCTCCAGAGCGTCTGGTTCTGCTTCGAGTCCAGGAGGAAGGGCAGGGGAATCCGGGTAGTTTATGTATGCAGTGTTGCTTGTTTTCAGTATGCTAAAACTCTTGGAAGTCAGCAGAGGTCCTGGCTGGTTGTATGCTGTGGAGAGGAACCTTGCAGGCTGTGCATGAAGAAATCTTCTGCAACAGAGACACAACCAGCATGTATATTACCCTTCTGCCTCACTGCAGTTAGCTGCCACCCCTTGGAACTATCCCAAAACCCATCTCAGATTGCAGATCTGTGAGTACTGCTGCTAGGCAACTGGGTGTTGGTGAAAAGCAGTTGTGACAGCGCTGAAGAGCTATGGCCCTCTCTGCAAAGCCGCTATATATAGCGCAGATAATATGCAGTGCAGACTTTCTTCTGCTGTCCTGCCAATGGGCCGCAAAGGCAGGCCACTGCAGCAGGCAGGGCTCCATCCAGTTAGCCTGAGGGAATGTGCTATAAGAGAGCTCGTTACTGTTAAAAATATACCACTGCTGAGCAAATCTACCCCTTTCCTTTGCTGCTTACTTCTCTGTATTCAAGAGGAAAAGAGAACAAGCAGCAACCTTCTCTCCCTTCCAGGCCTGGTTCTACACTCTATTTAAAGGGAGTAGAGCATTTATGGTTTTTTCCCCGTAATAACGAAGTGCAGCAGCATAGTCTGGATGCAGATACAAGCGAATAGCCCATCCTTTAACCTAGCAAACCAACTGCAGAGTGCGCTCTGGAAATACAGAAGACTAAATGCACCAGGGTGCCCAGGTAATTCAAGGTGAGAAGCCAGGGCATGAACAAATGAGCAGGATGTCAGCCATCAAAGTGCATGTTCTTTCCTCCTTTCCACTGAAGACGACACTACATGCTCACCTTAGGTAAACAAACACCTCTTGTGGGGTTTAATCCACACACTCCCTTGCTTGTCACTGACTTTGTGTGGCTTCGATGTGGATACAAATTAAACTCTTCCCCGAGTGAAAGCTTCTGCCTGACTTAAAAATGCTTTCACTGATACTGCTTTAGCTTTCCTCAGGTGTTTGCAGGTGGATGAATCCGCATCCTTCACCCTTATGCTTTAGCTATATTTGTCCAGTTAAGAAGGCAATCTTCTTGTTTAGACAAGGGGTTGTTTTTTTAACAGCGTAACTTCTGCCTAAACTCTCACTCCCTGGATTTCTCTTCTTCCCCCCAACCTCTCACCAGGTATTTCCCCTTTAGCAGCTTGTCTTAAAGATACAAAAAGAGAGATTAACTAATGGTCTCAAGAAGCTTTGCAGTAAGGGAAGGTCATAGATGTGAAAAAAATAGAAATTAAAAAGCACATTTAAAAGAGCTCTTAGCTTTTCCCTGTCATTGTCTAGTATTTTCCTCTTTTACTGGTGCTTCTCATTGCTGTTCAAAAACGTGAGCTCCTACCTGGTGTTGGTCTCCATTCAGCCTTGCCACAGTCAGATTTCCACATTGGGATCTGTGAATCCTTTCTTCCCCTCATTCACCAGCACAGGCTTTTCTGTCCTTGTATGCCAGACTAAAATCTGAAGAAGCCAACAGAAGTCATTAGCTGCACTTCTTCACTGCATTAACAAATATTCTTGCACATTAAATCAATAGCGCAATTTAACCATCTACCCTGGAGCCTAATGGCGCATTCACAGCTGAAAGGAGGTTTGCATAAAACTTAATTTAGGCAGGCCTGCTGCTATCCAAAATGCACAGTGCACAGAAATTACCCATTTTACAGTGTACTGTCTTGGGACATTAACCTGCTCCTTCCATGTAGTTATCAACCATCTTCCTCGAAAGGCTCATCAACCTTTTCAATGATGTAAGGCAGTTCCTTCAGAACCAGAGAATCACATGCGTGTTTCCTCATAGACCAAGTTCCTTACTCAGGTTCTTGGTTATCATGTTACTACACCCTTGGCCAGCGTGGGAGTTACTTGCCAGGCTCAGAGTGGAAATGCATATTCTTGCCACTTCAGGTCACATTGTGACTCATGCATTAGAGGGAAGAGGCGGTTAAACCGAGTACCACCAGCTGCTCCAATCGTCACCGTTGCCTTTGGTTGTGTGAAATATTGAAATTAATTTTTCAGTGCACCTGTGAGGGAAGACATCAGTCTGCTCCCTAACCTCACTATCACTTATTTTTCACTTCTAAATTCTTTCAAGACCCTAAAAAGACATGAGAGCGACGCTGATCTGTGAAGTACTTACTGCTCCTCCAGTTCTCTGTTGCAACCTCTGCTGCAAGATGCAGGAGGTAGTTACAGAACACTCCCTTCCTCCCACATGCCCTGGGCTGCACGCAGCCCTTTCATAACCCAGCAAGCATTAGTCTACCATATCACCTCAAAAGCCCCATCCACATCTCTTTTGAAATGCTGGCCCCGTGCTGCCATCCACTGTTCTGTACCAGGTCCAATAGGTTGTATCACTTTCAAACCCTTCTCCAACTTGCTTCAAACAGAACTGAAGCTTCTACTAAAAGCTTTCCTCGGTCTTAGCAGCAAAGTTTAATACAGATCAACATCTGTGGAGGAGAACAGTAAAAAATATAAATTGAAGAGGCGGTATAACAATTTTAGAGGGGGGGGAGTATTATAGGTAAATAGTTTCTATTAGCTGTGCTATATACTGCTGGCACAGACAGTTCTGGAAGCTGTTTAAAATACTCTCCCCTCACTAGACTCAATTATACTCATTGCTTTGCTCCTAGAACCTGAATTGCTGGGAGCAGCTTTATCTCTTCAGAGCTACAGTTTCCCGCTTCCCTTCACCTGTTCGCATTGATATTTCCTACCTTGTGGGGGTTTCCCTCTTGTTGCTATGACAATACTCTGCACATTTAATCCAAATATCTGCAAACCATTTCATACGCAGTCCCTGCTTTTCTGAAAAATGAGGGCACGTTCTGTTTCTAAAGGATGAACAAAGCACTTTTCAAACCCTTCTGGTTAAACAGGAGCACCCCCACCTTCCCAAGAAGCTGTTTGACCAAATTTGTCTCTGATGTGAGCAGTCACCTCCTGTGCGGGGCTTAAATCTCACCTGCTAATACTAAGGCAGTAGAGACCAACTGCTGTCTGGAGTGGGTCCAAAAAACCATTTCATCGCTCCCCCACAACCACTTCAGAGCCCGCTCATCAAAGTTAGCCTTTATTACAGTCCTGCTCACCCACTGCAGCAACACTGCTGCAATTACTGCGTTACTTTTCTATGAAAAGGCAAAACCAAATAGGTCTGTACAAGTGGCGCTCAGTGCTATGGAAGCATCAGTTACAGGCTCCTCATCTAACAACAGAATGTATAAACCTTAATGTAATCCAGGTGCTAGAAAAATCTTGTAGCCATTTCTCCTTTCCAGCAGGAACAGGTAAGAGTTCTTTCCACTTCTGACACATAAAAACTCAACCCTGCTGATGGCCAAGGGCTGCACTCTGCCAGGAATGGGACTCACACTTAAGCAACTCTAACTACCTACTCCATAAACAGAAGACCACAACTATGCATTATTAGCTTTTCTTTAAACTGGATCCCACTTTTAGCATTGTTACAGCCAAGTACCAAAAAGACAGTTATATTAACTGAAATGGACCAATTTTTAGAGTTTGCAGCTTGATACAGCAGCTTCTACCATTTTTCATGCTGTGTTCTTTAATGTGGGAGGGACATCACCATTTAGTACAGAAACACCTGCTTTTCCTCTCAGCCAATTGCTTGATTTTTTCCACAAGCGGTGTGTTCGTTTTATGCCTCAGGGAAACTTTGGCTTTTGCGAAAAATACAACTTGCAAGGGAGTAAACAGTATCTCACTTTCCCTGAACAGTGGTTTCATATAGGTCACCTGAGGGAGTCCCCTTCAAAAATCTCTACTATTGCAGAACACTTCCAATCAGTTACAGCCTTGCCATTCAGAATCACAGAACTCAAAACAGGTCTAAGACATTACAAGGATTCATCTCCATAGCAGATTTCTTCATTGTCTTCTAACAGGAAATTAAAAAGCAAACAGGCAAGTCGACCTACGGTTGGAGGGGGTCACAGGATTTTAAGCACACAGGTCCTCCACGGAGGGTTTCAATAATCGTTATGTGAAATGGAGACTACACGACATGAAGAAAAAGAGACACCAAGCTAAAACAACAGATTTGCTTCCTCCCAGCTTGCGCAACCCCAAATTTCTGCAGGCTCGCTTAAGCATTGTGGGCTCTTCTCCCAAAAGCACATCCATTGCTTCTCCCTGTAACTCTTGCTTTTCTCATATGTCGAGAGAATCACGGCCACTGCTATTAAATGAGGCAGAGCTTAAACAGTAATCTTTAACGGTGCAATTACACCAACTCGAAGATTTGTGCTTTGTGATGATGGGTATTATAGGCGGAACATAGAAGACCACAAGAGAAGAAAAGGTTACAGTGGTCTAATTTGAGCTATTGCAGCTGCAGCACAGATCTGAGGGTCCACCGTGGAGCAGTGCAGGCAGACCGTGCTGCAAACCCCCAACTACTCTGATGTAAATTACAACTTTCAGCTGTGGTACAGGGGATGGCATTGGCATAGCAGTTCAAGTGACTAATCGGGACGAGACAAGGCCAAAAGAACCCTCCGAGTTCTGCATGTCTGTTGTAAAAATCAACAGCTCGAGCACTGGTGTCTTCACTGGTGTGCGTGTGAAGCTTAACCCACAAAGTGCTGTCACGTAGCAGTCAGGATACTGAAAGCTCACCGCAAACCACTGGTCACAAACCCACATGAAAAGAGGAGCCCAATCTCAGGAACAATCTAACCCAAAAGAGGACAGATCTTCTCCATCCGTACCCTGCTGCTCAGCCCCTGCAAGGCAAACAAAATAAAGAGCTCGTGAAGCCGATTCCCCTGCCTGCCGTATGTAGCACCACAGGATAAAATCAGGAGGAAGCAAAGTACTCCTTTTCAAGCCTTCTTGCCTTAGGCTGACATTTTCCCTCTCTCTTGCCCATTCCGAGCCAGTTTTAGCTGTTTTACACCTGTGACATCGCAACGTAGCCAGTTCTGGTCTCCTTTTGCTGTGCAATTTCCTGGCTGGTCTCCTCCATAAGCACAAGGACTTATTCCCCTCCCAGAGCCAGTTCCAAGACCCACCGTAGCCACAGTGTTGGTGTGGGGTTCAGGTACTGCTGGGAGAGCTCTCTTTGCTCCCCGTTCTCTAGCCTGTGTCTGAGAGCAACCTGTTATACCGACTGTGGCATTTAATAGTGCCTACAAGCACCTCTAGGGCTCAGAAACAGCCATTTCCCAGCCCAGCGCAAAGCTGCCAGCCGATTCCCTTTCACAACATCCACCTAAACACCGAGCTGCTAACCTGCAGATTTAATCTCAGATTTTACTCAACCACGAGATAAGGAAAGAGGAGGATTCAATAGCCGGGGCCGCTCCAAGTCTCCCTCCTTTAAGGGCTCCCTGGTTGAGCACAGTGCAGCTTGTTTCCTCAGGTGTTAATAGAAAATGGGGAGCAGAATATGTCCCAGCTACATCAACCTTATGGGAATACAGAATCTCAGACCACTATCCTGTGTCAATGGATTGAAGAGAGTATGGTTTGCTTTGGGGGTGTGCGTGTGGAAATGCAGAAGCAGCAGAACACAGAAATACATAGCATGCTTGCAAAGCCTTGTTTCCTTACGACTCCAGTATAAACCAACCCTTCCCTCCTGATAAGGAGGGATAATTCTCTCCTTTCTCCTTGGCAATTAATACTGACTTCCTTAATTTTCTCCTTCATTTTGGGTGGTTCCCAAATCAGAGAAAATAAGCAGAATATACGTCTTTGGCCAAAGCTTAAGCTTTTTACAGGAATGTACGTTTGTGGGCTGAATTCTGATAAATATTACAAATACCAGCACTGCACACAGGGAAGGCAGCATTTTTGGAGAACAGATGTCTATGCTTATCTTACATACTTCTCTGATCCCTCCTTAATGACTCTATCTGAGCACATCATAATTTTTAATGTAAATCTCACTGCAAAGCAGGAGAATAGTTACGCTTAACAGAAGCAAACCATGACAACTGCTGGGAGCACGCTAGCACAATGAGAAAGAAGTCTGTGCTTTGAGCTTGGGGCAAGAGGACCCCAGACCGCAGCCTACTTCTGTCCTTCTCTGCTGCTTGTCTGGACTTTCCTCTTCGTCAAACGGGCGAGCAAAACAGCAATTGGGAAATGGAGGCTGCTGGCACCAGCTAAAAGCAGAAAGGCAAAGCTCAACCTGCAAAGCTGCACTCAGAGTTTGCCAGGAGCAGACAGCATTCAGTTCGCAACAAGGACGCTTCTAAGATCCCCACAGCCTAGCCAAAGAAAGAAATGCAGTCTGCTTCAAATCCTGGCCAGCAATTCCTGCTTCCTCCCCATCTCTGACCTGCAGCTCTTGTGTGACAGCATCGACACAGCAGCCTGTCTGACAGCACCATTTTTTTCCCTCCTGCCTGGAAACAACCTTTTCCTTCCTCTCCTTCTTCCATGTGTTCCTCCACAACCATTATTTCCTATCCCCAGCCTCTTAACACGGCTTCTTTCAAACAGTTATTTACAGCAGGGACAATATACCAAAGATTGTATAGCTGGCCATGAAGTAAACACCCCTAATCTTCTGTACACCAGCCTAAAAGCAACCTGTGCATCTCCCTTGGCCTGTTGGAAACACATTTATTTCCAGCCAGTGCTTTTTTGTTAGCTAGTAGGGCACGCAGTGCCCAAGATAAGAGGTCTAGTTTTAATCCAATCTCTTTTCCCACCCTTGGGAGACCATCTGTGTTATTTATCCCAGTGCTGGACAGCCATAACAACACACATGCAGATTTAAAAAATGAGGCACAGCAGGTATCACTTAATAAACAAAATTCCTTCTCCCCCTCAGCTCCTCTTCCTTATCCCCGGACTCCTTGCCGGAGCACTGCTGAACATCGAGATCCTTGTTTTAGCGTGGCTGTGGGTGGTGGAGCAGTGCAGATGGAAAGCAAAGACAAAGGTTATTACTCAAAATTTTTTCCTATCCCAAAAAGCGATGGAGGCTTGGGTCCAACTCTGGGTCTGTCAGCAGTAACAGCTCATTTGTAAAGAAAGAAAAATCCTCCTGGGACAATTAAACAATAAAAACTCCCTAAATCAGTCTGGGTGGTGCCTATTACAGACAAAGGCATGAAAGTGCTACACAGGGGTCCGTAATCGCAGAGGGACCCCCTCCATGCCCGCGGTGCTCTGTGGACCCACTCACAAATCTTTCAAAAGCACTTGACAGCACCTCCATTGCTGACGTGCTGTGATTGATGCCTGTCACGCTAACCAGCATTGTCTCATTGTGTCTCGCATGCTCCCCTGTCATTCCAGACGGGTATCCATCTGTTGTCTCTCATTTTAGACTGGGAAGTCTTTAGGGCAAGAACCATCATCGCGTTCTGAATTTCTACATTATTTATCACATAGGGGTCCTGCTCCATGACCTGGTGGCTCCTAGGCAATGTGTACAGTCAAATAATTAGCAGTCATTTGATAGCAGTAACCCCACCGCAGAGTGAAGCTTTATGGAAGCCTTCTTGAGCTCAGAGCAACATGCCAGGCATTAAAACATTTCTACATGATCTCTGGCACAGAAAGATCCAGGTTGCTGTGGACAACTGCAGCGATGTTGCATAGATGTCAAGAGGGAGAAGACAACTTCGCGGGAAGGCAGTGATTGTGTGAACAGTCTTTCCCTGCAGCTGGGAAACACCGTGGCTTACACTCCTGGATTACAGCTCAGATGGGTTCCAGGGGGCCAAATCTCACAGGATGCTGGCTTATCACAGGAGTACCAGTACTCAAAAGCCCCCCTCAGGAATTCATGTAAAGCAACCGACATACATTTCACCTATGGAATTCCCTGATCCAGGGGATTAGCAAGGCCACAGGTAAGCCCACTTTGAAAATAATAAGGATATTTTCTAGAGGTAATATAAGAAAGAGGAACAGTTACAGGGGAGAGAAGACTCCATATTTCAAGGCCTATGGCAACTGCTATTAGCCTGCAACCAAAAAAGATAACTGCCCTCCACACATTTTAATACATAATTGCCCATTCCCAGCTCCCTTGCAATGGGGACATGCTCTCTTCAAATGCACAGGACAAGCGACTGAACGGTCTTTCTTCTGGATCCTTACAACCCATATATGAGGAAGAGACCATACCTTAGTGCAATTGGCAGCTTTCGGCTCAAGGTCATTCAAGGTCACTAGTTCCCGGAGCAGGCTGCTCTCTTGGTAGCCTCCCTTCACTCCTCGCAGTTTGAAGTAAGCCTGAGATCGCTGGAGAATCAGTCTGAGGTTCACAGCAAACCCCGCCATGTCTATAGCAAAGGGGCGATGGGGGTCGAACACAGTTTTCCAGCCATAGACCTTCCCTGCAGCGTTCACTTTGGGCGACTCGTAGCGCAAGCCACCGACGAAGGCTACTGGCCACACTGACACCTTTCTGGTGCTGCGCATCTGGAGGTAAGGAAAGAGAAGAGTACGGTGGGTGCGCACAGAAGGATCGGCTGCACGTGACTTCCAACACACAAACCAGCACACCAGCAGAATGACTTCACCTTCTTCACTGTCCTGCAAGAAACAAATGCCCCTGAGCTTCAGCACAAACCCTAGAGCTAAGACCCTGGGTGAGGTTTGCAGGCAGCCTCCGTGGCTTGGACCAAGCCGCAGAGCTCATTACTCACCTGTACAAGGATGCACATTCTGGAGCTGGAGAAGCAAAGTGCTTTGGAAGGTGGCAGCTAATAATAGCAATAGTAACGGATAGCCACGGAACCCAGCATGAGTTCAGCACTGAAAACAAAGCTGCCAATAATAAAACTTAACTGAGATTTAAGAGTGGGTTTTTGCCCAAAGGTCTTTAGAGCTGCTGGGCATCAGTCGTCCACATGGACAGCTGGGGAAATCAGGACACGGAGGAGGAAAGCACCTTGTCCAAGGCCAGCTGGAAATGCAGGAATGGCATATCAAGGAAGAAAGGTGCTTTCTCTGAAAGCTAAGGAGTTTGAGCTGCAATCTCAGCCTATGAGCCTCAGCAAGGCTAAAAGCATCTTTAGAATGAGGCACTGCAGCTGTAGCCCACAACCTCAGGGACAGCTGAGATGTGCAGCCTCTCCAGAAACTCCCAGCTTGGAGGACGGTGCTCTGTAGCTGCTCCTGTTACCCAGTGGAGCAATGCCGGATGCCTCTACTCCCTGCCGAGTCAACAGAAATAGATAGGAGCCATCACGGGACGCTTCAGATGCCTGCTCTTGCCAATGCAGATGCTTTGAATGCTAGTCTGCCCACTCACCCCCCAGTGCCCTGTCCTGCTATGCTGGCAGGCTCAGCCTCGTGTTCTGCTCTCAGCCTAGTCTCTTAGATCAGGGATCTCCCAGAGCTAATCTCATCACTGCTAATTACTGCAAACGAGACCAGAAGAGCTCTGGCACTTGCCCTTCTGCATTATACACATGCTAACGGCAGCCCCTGTCCACAGGGAACAATAGTGCGTGTCTTCTGCATTTCACAGCACATTTCATTGGCTCCATGTGACCTTAACTGCAGCTACATATCAGAGAGGAGAAGCCTCTACGAGCAAAGCACAGAGGTGAACGAAGGAACCCTTTCTACTTTATTAACGTGCAGTGTCTGTCAAGATGATGCCAGAGCAAGCCTCAGAGGGGACTGTGGAAGAAAGACATTCAGTCTGAATTTGCTTTCAGCTTTAAAAGCGTGTACACTCCTGTGGCTATCCAAGCTCAAGTGAAAGCCATCAGGGAAGGGGAAGGGGGCATATATGGAGTGAATAAATAGGAGATCCCTGGTATGGAAACTGGCAACTGGTGGGGAAGGAGGCAATCCTCCTTTCTTGTCCCTTGCTGCAAGAGCTCGGCCTCAGGAGAGCAAGGGAACAAGTAATTTCTGAGCTGGAAGCCAGGTGAGGTACAGTGTACCTGGCACTGTAAGACCACTGCATGCCTGCAGACAGGGAAAGGCACAGGAGTTCATTTAGAGCCCCAGTAGGAGTGGAACAAACAGCAAATGTGGGAAAGCACATGGGAATTTTCCCCGGCTCAAGCCTGATAAGGCTGTCAGGACATGCTGAAATTCAGCCTGCCATCACAGCTCCTGGAGCCCCAAACTTCCAGGCTGAGATCTCAGCCCCATTGCCTACTTCCAACAGCCTGGGAGAGCATCCATCCCCTGACGCTGGATGAGGGAGAGCTCCAGAGGCGAGTGCTGCACTTCCCTCCCGGCAGAGAGACAGCCCTCTCCAAGGCAGCGCGCAAAGGGCACCACTTTTCTGGGAGCAGAAGCAAGCACTGACAAACGCACGCTCCTCGCGTGTGCAGCAAGCCAGAGGCAACCACACAGAGCATCTCTGAACAAGACGTCCTGCGAGCGCTATGACTGTGCTGACACCGTTCAGGCGTAACTCTGAAAGGGCACTGCTACCTCGGCTGGGGATCTGTGCAGAGCAGGTGCCAGGCTCTTGACAGCTATAGTATTTAACCAGTGGACACTCTGGGATGACAGCAAACAAATGCAAACAGCAAGCAAGGAAGAGAAACCCCAGGGACTCCTCAAACAAGAACAAACATGAATTAACAGACAGCCAAGTGCAATACATAGGAGTGGCGGAGAAGAAAGGTGGATAACATCAGGTCAGGAATCAGCTGGAAATCTCCTCCAGGGTGGGCCATGGAAGGAGGATGGCTAAGGTTTCTTTAGCTAGGCACGTGCTTCTGCACAGGCACGTTGGACAGCAAGCGATGTTCCAACCCTAACAAGGCTCCCCACAGGGGAAGGCAGCTCCTCATTAGCTTCCTTTACAGTAAAAACGACGTGCCTCCTGGTCACATGCCACAGGATAAACTGGGGTTCCTCTTGCTTCGCGCAGGATGCCTTTGACGCTAGGAAACGCACACTTTGCGGCGCAGTAACCAAGCCCCAGAGAAAACCTCAGGACAGCTGCAGTGGGACCGTTCTACAGCCAAGACCTGGTCCAGAGCTCAGGAGAGGATGTACACAGCATCTCCTCAGCTCAGTACGCAGCATCTTTTACACCCCACGTGCCTATCTATCTGCTGCGTTCAGTCAGTTGGGAGCCCCCCCAGCAGCGTCTTACCTCCTCGAAGAGCTCCAGGCTGTAGGTGTTATCATCATCGGCAAAGTAAACAATCCCAGGCTGGCTGTTATTTTTGTTAAAGGTCTCTCTCAGCCATCTCAGGGCAAGGTTCCTCTGCATGGTCCCCCGGGGGATGCGGGGATCCCTCATGTCTCCCCGCAGCTTGTAGTTGCGGGGTGTCTCCACATTGAGGTGAGTGTAGTTAAGCCCCGTGTCCCGCAGCAGCCGGGTGATGAGAGGCGTGCGCCGCTGTGAGTCCTCCACCAGGATCCAGTGCAGGTTTGGGACGTGCAGGAGGGTATTGGCCAGGCGAGTCAGCTCTGCCTTCTGTACGGGCCGGCTGTAGGTGGGTGTAATGACGTGGATGGTGGGAAGGGTGTCTGACCACGGGGGTGGGCGGGTATAAACATATTCTGTCCTCACCACCTCCACAATGTCCCGGTCCGACAAGCAGTATTCCTTGGAGTCCAAGCCTGCAGCGAGATCACGCCGGGAATCACCACCATCATCTGAGCAAGGGTATGAGAGAGAAGAAAAAGCCGCATGGACTCAGTCTTCCAATACCCCCCGACTGAGCCAGCAGGCTGCTTGCTAATAGCAGGTCACCCTCATGGTTTCAGAGGAAAGGAAGCAAGCTCGGATGGAGGGTTTAATAAATAAGTACACAAATAAATAAAGGAATCAGGGACAAACACACATGAGAAAAGAATTTCCTGCTGTTAGAAAACTGGCTCCAAACAAGGCTTGAGAGCCCTGGACAATGCTGCAGCTGAGTGCTCAGAATAAGCAACTTCAAAAAGCACCCAGAAGAGACGGGCTTGTACAGCAATTAGATCTAGATAAAGAAAATAGCAACATGGATTGACGGTCTGTCATTCTTGAAAAGCTCCAGTGCTCTGGGCACCACGCTCAGCAGGACAGGATTCACGGCTCTGCACTCGGGCACTGGAGCACCTGGACTGGGAGGCAGAGCACTAACTGGTGGAAAATACCAAGTCAGTGAAGATCCCCCCAACAGCATCATCTGGCCACGATACTGCAGTACCCCACTGCTCTCCTGACAGGCTTGGGATGGCGTACAGAGACGCAGGGAAAGACACACTTCCAATCCAGAAATGGAGAGTAGACATTAAAGCCTGCAATTGTAGGCTTTTTCCTGCAGAGACTTTCACCTGTCTCTGACTAACCTCTCCTCAAAAAGACCCTACCAGTCTCTGAACATAACAGCCCATTCAGTAGTGCTGATGTGAACAATGAACAGCATATATATATAGGATACACTGATCCACACATATAAAATCCTTGCAAAGAGAGACTTGTTCATGATCAGCTCAAGGAAAAAAAAAAAGTTCATGCACCTGTGACTTTTCCAGGGTGTGACTTTCACACTGCTGTACCACCGTAGACCAGCAGGAATACCATGGTCTACAGTTAGGAACTGGGAGAGATGAAGGGGCACCTCCATTCAGGATATAAGCCAGCTGCTCTCTAGTGGGCACATACTACTTTGAGCCACAGATTTTGCAAAACCAGCTACTACCAGGAACTTCAGATGAGAAAGAACAGGAACAGACAGACATTAGATCTGACCCAGCAGGGTACTACCTATGGTTTTTTTCATAGCATGCTACTGTTGCAGCACCATAGACTTTGATACCAGCCCTGAACCAAATGAAGGCCTCGTACTCCGTGGCATTGACGGAGGGAGGGTGTATATCTGGTGGGGGGGGACAGGGACAAAGTGTACTACACATGTTGGTGTCAGGCTCTATATAAGGCAAAGCACATCAGCATCACATAGCAGAGCTCTCTGAAAGCAGAGAACACTGGAATCAATTAAAAAATAAACCTGCAAAATGCATTGGACACAGACACAGATGTAACTAGCCAGGACGGTGGTGCTTGAGACAGTTTGCAAACCCCTGCAGGTCAAACCCTCAGCTGTAAATCCTGGCATATGTAAACACTGCTGTTCTGCGCTCGCTAGCGTAAAGATGCACATCCCTTTTTCAGCACCTGCTACCAAAAGATCTCGGAAACGCATTAAAAGAACAAAATGATTTCTCCCAAAAGCTTTCAGGTTGGTCTCTATCACCACTCATTTTCCACTGGGGGCTCAGAGAAGCAGAGGCAGAGGAAGTGTCTTACCAAGGTCATTGGTAAGTTCAGGACTGAGTCAGAGCAGCGCAGTCTCTGTGCTGTAACTTCAGCCTCTGTGGCCATTCACAAAAAACAGCTCCCAGTTTTTAGGGCATTGAATATAACTGGTATACAGACAGCGTATTCTCAGTAGTCTTTCAAGTCCTGTTTTAAAGCCCAGTAGATCCCTCATCCTCTGAAACACTGTCCACCTTCCAGAGGGGATCACAGACATTTTTCTCTTAAGAACTGCCCAAAGCCTCATGGGCAGCTGTCAGTCCTCCAGGGGGAAAGGTAGAGCTGCTCAAGACAGACTCTGGACTTCTGACACTTGAAACTGCACAATCAGACTGTTCAGCAAAAGGATAAGCAACTGTGGAGCATGGGTGCAAACAATAAAATGAAGAGGGGGGAGAATCTCCCAGAGAAAGGGACCAGAGAGGGAAAATGAGCTGGCCTTCTTGCCCACAGACAAGCCTCCCCAAGCTGACCTGCCTGCTCTGGCGCTCAGCAGAAGGGCAGAACCAAGAATGAAGACCTTAGTAGGCAGCGTGGCTTCTTCCAGCCCCCAAGAGCTCTCACAGCCCTTGGATATTGCTGCTATGCCAAGAGCAGGATAAAAACTAGGACCCTTCTGGCCAGAGAGGATTCCTCAGAACTTCCTTGCACTCATCTGATTTCGGCCAGGGCTCTATTTAATGCTTTGTGTGACAGGTAGCGTGGAAGCTGACTCTCCCATAGCACTGTAACTCCACCAAACAATCAGGTGATGTGCTGGCTCTTGCCTTCTCCTTCAAGTGCAAGAGCACCAGTTTGCTGCTTTCCTGAGGATACTTTAAAAATGCTCCTTGCCTCATGTCTCCCAGAGCAGCTGTCTCAAGTGGCAGCTTTGTTTGCTCTCTTTTTTTGCAGCTCTCCTGCTGGACTAACTTGTGTGCAGAATGCTGCAAAGGCCAGCAGGAAGGGACTCCTCTCTTATGGATCATCACAGAACAAAGAAACGCATCCTCCTTCAGTACTCTGACTGATTCTGGGTTCAGGCCATTGTCTTGTGGCGACATAGCACCGTACCAGCTACTAGGAAGACAATTAACTCTATCCCAGCTGAAACCAGGACAGCCATAAAGAGCTCTCCAAGTGCAGTAAGCACATCCCATGGCTTGGACTTTGATGTCTCTGAAGAACCCCTGTGAGCACTGGGCTGTTCCTACAGCAGAAGTGGGGAGGCTTCTGCATGAGCATGGACTGGGAGCTGAGATGAGCATGGCTGCCATGGAGAAATGAAATGAGAGAGGAGATGAGGACGAGGGAGGGATGCACAGACTTGGCATGGGCTGGTTTGATTTCTCTCACCCTTGTGCACTGCAAGCAGTGGAGCAATGGTGCTCTGGTGCCAGACGGTGATTAGTAGTGTCCAGGGCAGAACTATCAGCACGATAGCCAGGATGTCTCGTCTCTTCGGCATCTCCAAGACTGACTGGACCCACAGCTCCTCATTACCTGACAGTGAAAACCCCAGAGACAGAACAGCAGAGCACATGGAGAACAGAAATAAATGGGCAAGAAGGAACAAGGACAGAAAGAGAGAACGCGAGAGAGGGAGAGAGCAGCGAAGGCGACACGACTCGTAGGTCTTACCAGTGCTTACAACCCACCCATTGCAGAAGCAGGTTTGGAGGGGCCTCAGCTGCTGGGACCAGGAGCAGGAGGGCACTTCTACAGGACACTGCTGGAGCTGCCAGCAGGAACCTCAGGGACTCATTTGGAAGGAAACCTGCAACACAGAGCAAAGGTGAGTAGGCAGAGAAAAATACTAGGGAGCTGCTCCACAGAGTTCACAGATCCTCCTCAAGAAGAGCAAATCAAACTGGGGCAGTAAGCAACAGAACCGTGTCCCACCCCCCCAGGGAGAGATGAGTCCTGGGTGTCCAGAGCCTTGCTTTCCTTGGCATCCACTTGTCAAGCAAGGCCCTTGCTTCAGCCAAGCAGAAGTTGCTCGGTGCTGCAGAGACCATAACGACCACATTACTTGCCTGGCCCACCAGCAAGTGCTCTGACCCACCAGAGCCTCTCCCTCTGCCAGGCAGAGCACTCAGGCTGACTGCGCCCACGCTCTTGGGAATATAGCTCCAGGAAAGCTAGTGACCCTGTGTTTTGCCCGTCATTGTAATCTCCTCAGCTCAGGCCACCCCGCTGGCATCTTTGATGCAGCCAGTTTTAACTCAGGCTTCCAATGGCCTGTTCAGGTTCATTTCTTCCATCTCGGAGGTGTTGCGACTGGAGTATATTAAACTGCCACAATAGCTTAGTTTGATTCAATACAAGCACATACAAGATTTAAGCAGACTGTATTTTATCCGAGTATCTTGGTGAGCAAAGTACATCACTTAGCAGGGACACGCACGGTGGACAGTTTGCAAACATGGGTAGCAGTTTAGTACCACTGTTCCCATGTGGGGGAACGCATTAGCCCACTGCTAAAAGGGCTGCATTGCAGATAAGGGAGAGCCCAGAGAATACCGCAGTCGAAGGCAGGGAGCAGTCTGCTCTGGGAAAAAGCACTGATCTCCCACTGCACAGCCGGTGGCTGGCTGGTCAGTCACTGACACTGCAGTGCCCTGGAAACTACCAGATCCCCTCCTTAAATTGGAGGGGAGCTCCTCAAGCCTGGGCTGTAGGTACAATGCTACTTTGCAAATATTTTCCCTGAGACCCTTGGAGCTTGCTTTTTCTTGGTTGCATGGGGCAACCATCTCTCAGAGAGAGATCCAGGTTCAAATCCCTGATTCGCCTCATTTGGATTGATCTGAATTTCCCTTGGCCATGCCTTGACCACTGGGCTGTACAGTCAGCCTCCGGCACTGAGCCCAGTGGAAGACTTGAAGCGAAATGGTTCCAAGAACCAACGGGTTGTCCTTTTAAGGTACAAGCAAGCGATATTCAAGTTGCTGGACAGAACCTGGCTCTTCCAAATTAGCACTTCAATCACAGAGGTAATAATTTACCAGGGAAAGCAAGGGATGGGGAAAACACAGGTTGACCTTCGTCCTTAAAAGGGACGTGTAAATGTCCCTCAACAAAAGTTTCAGTGAATCCATTTTTTTCCACACACACAAAAACGCAACTCGCCAAAAAATTTCCAGCCAACTCCAGCAAACAGCCAGTTCCCCGCTCAGAGCTCTCTCACCAGGGAGAGACCTGTCACCTCCCATACAAAAACCTGTGCCAGAGATCACAGTGCCAGCATCTACGGAGCTGGGGACCCATCCTCCTCACATGCACCCGCCCTCCTCCAGCACCGTGCACAGAGGCAAAGCCTCACTCAGGAGACCCTTGTCAGGGGACGAAATCAGCAGATGTGCTGGCAAACCGCATTTAGGAAGTGCAAGGGCCAAGCAGTATGGATGGAGGTTGTGGTGGGTCAGGGCAAGCTGCAGCTAGTGAGGGTGATAAGAGGGAGCTAGTCTTCTGGAAGGGTCTCCAGAGGAAACGACAACAAACTCCTAAACCAACCACCGAACACAGCTGGTTCTACAGAAAGCAAGGTTTCCTGCAGTCAAGTATGAGGAACCAGCAGGAAAAAGCTTTTCACGGCCCAAGGATATGCTCTGTGCAGCCGGACACCTTGCAGACTTTCAAGGAAGCATCTCCCAGCAACGTGGATTTGTCCCTGTTTTTTTCAGAACTGGAGAAAGCTGCCTCATCCGAACAAAATAAACCAGGGAGGAAGAGGAGGAATGATTCCAGCAAACATAAGCCTTCTGCTGCAACCCTGTCCAGCTCTCAGAGCCAGAGAAATCCCGCTGGCCTAGCACCGCCAAAGCACACAGTGCCCTCAGGAAAGAGCATCTGGCCTCATCCTTGCTGTCCCTGCAGTTGCTGTCAGTGCCTGAACAGAGGATGCTGAGCGTTGGCATCCTTCGAATCCTCTAATACAGCCAGAACATGTCCCTTGAGCATCCCTGTAGAGCAGAGCGGTAAGGGGCAGCTCTGAACAGACTGAACACCTTGCCTAGTAAAGTGCCTTCCCTGCAAATGCACCAAGGAAAGGATTCTGCCACTGGAGAGGGGGTGGGAGGAAAGGACCTGCTAAAAGAGCCACTCAGAGTCAATTCACAGCATCTGGCAAACTGCCACCGTGGGCTGGCATGCATCAAATGCCCCGTTTGTCAAGGGCAGCTTCCTCCGAATACAGTGCTCTTACCTTAAAGATGCCTTTTCCTTGCCTCGGGCCAAGCCGGACTCAAATTGTCAGCTTCCTCCCTTAGGACAGGCTGACCCTGGGCTTCGTATGATGGAGAATGGGCACCTTTGGGCTGGGGTGCTACTCTGATTTCCAGCCCCTCAACACAGGGGAAAATGAACAGGCTCCACCGATTTGTGCCTTGGTCTCTTCAAGCATCGATTCCTTTTAATTTGCTACAGAGCATTTAGCAGCTCCCTGGTCAATCATCTGTCACGTTGGTGCTCCAGCTGCCAAGGGCCAACACAGCCCACTTGTGCCCCAGCAGAGAGAGCTGTCGGCTTTGCTTTGCAGCTCTGCTCGGGCTGGCAAGCGGAGAGCTCCCGGGGACGGCGGTCCCCGCCGTGGGAACGCATCCTCCCCATGTCCTTCTGGGGCTGGCTGAGCGCTGAGCTCCTTCTGCGCCATCGGCAATTGTGGGCTGCAGATGCGAATCAGATACCCCGCGCGCGGCGGCCGTAATTAGCGTTCCCTTCCCTACATACAGCGCGCTCCACATGCCCAAAGGGACACGGCCCCGGTATGGATCTGAATCGCAGATGGCGATGGTCGGCTTGGGGGAGAACGTGGAGCCGCAGACCCCGAATTGCTGCCCCACGCTTCTGCAGCCCGAGCTGCCCGTCGGCACCCACGGTGTGCCGCGTACTCCTCTCTGCAGCAAAGACGTTTGCTCGCTGTTAATTCCTGAAGCGATTTGATTTTATTGATGACCCTGAGAAGCCTGAATGAAGGACGTCGTAAGAATTCACTTGGGGCTGCTGTGAGCACTGTGAAATCTGGATCCAGGCGAAGTATTTCAAGCGAGCGTGCTCCCTCGCAAAAACGCTAATGCAATGGAGGGCCTCAGTGCAGGGTGACACCAGTTCTCAGTGTAACAAAGCCATGCTCCCACCTCACCGTCACCAAACAAAATAAACCAGGGAGGAAGAGGAGGAAGTGTTAAAGCTGCAAAAGGGGAAACCCACTTTCTCCTGTGAACAACATCAGCTAGGAAATGCACGGTCGCCTGCGATTTTACGTTGCTGGTGAGAGAAGTCACAGCTTCACAGCCCAAGACAGAGGCCTTGCCCCGCATCCAAAAAATCCCTCGCTACCAAAGCCAAATGACGCTTTTTGATGCTGCTTATGGCACAAGTGAGGCTAGCCAAAAATTAGTCCGGGGAAAATTATGCTCCTCTTCACAGCATTCACTCTACCCCTGCCCCATCATAATACCACTCTCCTTTTCCCACTGAAAACATTCAAAACAAAACCTGGCTTTGTTCAGATTGTCAGTTTTAGGCTTCTGCTATCTTCTCCTCCACAGGGAAAAGAAGGAGGAGGAACAAATTTAAACATGAATTAATTAAAAAGATCAAACTCCCTTTTCCACTACAGAAAGTATACTTTCTGTTTTCAGTTTTGAAAAATCAGGGAAAAGACACAAATCACCAGCTCAAATGTAAGCGATTTGGGGGTTAAAATAGTTCTAAAACAAAGGTGTTTTGCATAGTTTGGAAAGACTTTCCTTGGCAGAAATGTATTTTGACATGCTGCAAGCAGAAGGGCTGTGCCACATGGTGAAAGAGATTTCACATCCTCCGGCAGAGGGCAATGGTGTCAAGGCATGACAATATTAAAAGGGCACTCATCTAATAAAAAAGCTTTAATAAATCCTGGAGCCATGTGTTGGTAACGTGCTAGATTATTAAATGCTGAAAGTTCTTTTTTAAAATCAAATTAATTGGCATCAGCTCTGACACTTACCATAGGAAACACTGATTTGATCTGCAATCTGGTTTATAGTGAGTTTTACCTTCTTTCTTCCTTTGGGGCTGATCAGCCCCAGCATCATTACTCCTTGGTTTTCCCACACTGAACAGAAGTGATTTAGAACATGTTAAACTAAAGAATTGCTCGAGTTGAATTTGTATATACACATAAGTCACTGGAGTAAAAATATTGTCTAGATGTAAGAAAAACACACACAAAACCCCAAACAAACATACCAAACACTTACTTGTATTACAAAACAGCCAGGAAATAACAAACACACACAGCCAAATCCTACAACAAAAGCTTTACAGAGAAAATAAACACTCATACTTCGGGATACAAAGTATATTCTCACTAATAGCTTTTCCCCCTTGGGCAAAGTACCCCCTAAACCTAAAAACAGGGTTTCTTTCACCTTTGCAATAGCAACTGGTTCTGATCCCTGCTGAAAAATGATGCACAAGCCAGAGCTGGTCCCTCTGCTCAGCCCACGTCAGTCCACTGAGCACCTGGACCACAACCCCCATGACCCAAAAACCCTTCCAAATTTACATCCAAGTTCACACGCCCGAGCCAGTCGTCTCGCACAGAAAACAACTGCGGGCGTGTGAGCGCAGCACTGCCATGTCCATTTTTCAGATGAGGAAACTGAGGCACAGGGTAGTTACAACTCTCCCTTGCAATCACACAGCAGAGGCTGGGGACAAGGGCTCTGCCACTGGGCTCCCCGTGGCCACATGCGGACAGGCTGGTGGCCGGCTCCGGGTGCTCCATAT